ACATATTCTTAAAATAAATTATAATATAGAATAATAATATTAATATATACTTTGAATTTTGATTGAATATTAGTTAGATTAAAATTTGATTGAAAATAACGAGCGAAAATTTAAATAAGAATGAAAGGAATGGTGGTTTTGATATGAATTAAAAACTCGGTTTATTATTTATATTAAAAATAAATAAAAGTAATTTTATAGCACAATAAAATATGTTTTTTTATTAATATTTTTTTAAGAAAAAATTTAAAAAAAAAAGAAACTCGTTACTGTTACTCGTTACTTCTAGGAAAAGGTAACGACGTTAGTAACGTCGTTACTTTTTTGACGTTACTTTACAGCACTAGGAAAATATGAATGGCTCACTGGATGTGAATTTCCTAATTCTCTATATTGTTGGTCATACCTATTATTCCCAAAGGAAAAATATGTTTGGAATGATAAAGGATTTTCGGATATGAATAATCTTACAAATGCAGTTGAACGGCATGAAGAATTAACCGTTCATTTGCAGTCGATAATTCAATTAAAAACATTTGGTCAAAATCGTATTGAAAAGATGATAGATTCGATGCGCAAAATATCAATTGAACAGCATAATTCGAAAGTCAAATCAAATAGAGAAATATTGATCAACTCTATATGTTTTCTTGGAATTCAGGAGCTCGCATTCCATGGTGATGATGAATCTTCTAATTCAGTAAATAAAGGAAATTATATTGAATTAATTTATTTGCTGGCGAAAGAAAATTTACTTTTGAAATATCATTTAGAAAATAATATAGTTTTTATTGGACTATCAAGCGATATTCAAAATGATTTAATAAATTCTATTTCATATGGCTTACATCAAAAAATATTAAATGAATTAGAAGAAACGGAATTTATATCAATAATATTAGGTGAAACAACAGATATCAATAATAAATCTCAACTGGCTGTAGTTCTTCGATATTTTTAAATAACGGGACATTGTATGAAAGATTTATTGAATTCTTTGATGTTACTATGCATCGAGATGCTAATTCTTTATCAAAATTTGTCATTAAATTCTTAAATGATAAAAAAATTAATAGGTTAAAGTTACGATGGCGCAGCTGTTATGTCAGGCAATTCACATGGACTACAAGCGAAAATCAGAGACGTCAATCCTTTAGCACTTTATATTCATTGCTTTGCCCATAAGTTAAATCTTATATTATCAAAATCTTGCAGCAAAATTAAAGAATGCAAGGTTTTTTTTGCAACTTTATCTGGTTTAGCCATTTTTTTAGTATATAGTTGGATAATGCTAATATGTTTTCCAAGAATTTAATCTGTACTGATTTCTTACCATTGTACATCATCTGCCTTGAAAGCAGAAATTTATCAGTGTAAATTTATATATGTTAAAACTTTAAAAATTAACAGCAAACAATTTTACATTAGTTGTAATGTTTTGTTATATTTTGAAATTTTCTCGTTTTTCTATTTAAACATAGATTTGAATTTCATTTTTCGGGCATGACTAAAATACGCGTCTCCGAAAACTACGCGTCCCCGGTCAAAGAGGTTTAATTTATATAATATTAATATAAAATCTTATTTAGCTTCATAAAATAAGTTAAAAAATATTTTTTATTAAAAAAAAATGATATCTTAATAAAATTTTTAAAAAATTATTTTTTTACATGAAAAAACTACGCGACCCCGGTCAAGATACAATTTTTTATAAAAAATAAAAGCAGATTCATATTTAGCTCATTAAATGAATATAGAAAATGTTTTTTATGATTTAAAAAAAATGTGTTAACAGTAAAATTTTTAAAAATTTATTTTTTTTAAAAAAAACTACGCGTCCCCGGTCAAGATACAATTTTTTTTAAAAAATAAAAGCAGATTCATATTTAGCTCATTAAATGAATATAGAAAATGTTTTTTATGATTTAAAAAAAATGTGTTAACTTAGTAAAATTTTTAAAAATTTATTTTTTTAAAAAAAAACTACGCGTCCCCTATCAAGATACAGTTTTTTTTAGAAAATAAAAGCAGATTCATATTTAGCTTATTAAATGGATAGAGAAAATGTTTTTTTTGATTTAAAAAAGAAGTGTTAACTTGGTAAAATTTTGAAAAAACACTCATTTTTTGACTAAACTACCATTCCCCGGTCAAGATAGATTATTTTTATAAAAATAAATAAAAAATCGTGTATAGTTTTTCAAGGAGATTCCGAAAATCGTATTAAGAAATTTATTTTTAAAAAAATTAATTTTCGAAAAATTTTATTTTTGACTAAACTACGCGTCCCCGGTCAAGATACAATTTTTTTAAAAAAATAAAAGCAAATTCATGTTTAGCTCATTAAATGGATACAGAAAATGTTTTTTATGATTTAAAAAAAATGTTTTAACTTAGTAAAATTTAAAAAAAAAAAAACTATGCATCCCTACGCGTCTCCGGTCAAGATACAGTTTTTTTTAAAAAATAAAAGCAGATTCATATTTAGCTCATTAAATGGATACAGAAAATGTTTTTTTTGATTTTAAAAAAAAGTGGTAACTTAGTAAAATTTTGAAAAAACTACGCGTCCCCAGTCAAGATAGATTATTTTTATAAAAATAAATATAGAATCGTGTTTAGTTTTTCAAGGAGATTCCGAAAATGGTATTAAGAAATTTTTTTTTTAAAAAAATTAATTTTCGAAAAAATATTTTTTTCCGGTCAAGATAGATTATTTTTATAAAAATATATATAGAATCGTGTATAGTTTTTCAAGGAGATTCCGAAAATGGTATTAAAAAATTTTTTTTTTTAAAAAATTAATTTTCAAAAAATTTTTTTTTGACTAAACTACGCGTACCCGGTCAAGATACAATTTTTTTTAAAAAATAGTAGCAGATTCATATTTAGCTCATTAAATGAATATAGAAAATGTTTTTTATGATTTAAAAAAAATGTGTTAACTTAGTAAAATTTTTAAAAATTTATTTTTTAAAAAAAAAAACTACGCGTCCCCGGTCAAGATACAGTTTTTTTAAAAAAATAAAAGCAGATTCATATTTAGCTCATTAAATGGATAAAGAAAATGTTTTTTTTTGATTTAAAAAAAAAGTGGTAACTTAGTAAAATTTTGAAAAAACTAATTTTTTACATGGAAAAACTACGGGTCCCCGGTCAAGATAGATTATTTTTATAAAAATAAATATAGAATCGTGTATAGTTTTTCAAGGAGATTCCGAAAATGGTATTAAGAAATTTTTTTTTAAAAAAAATTAATTTTCAAAAATTTTTTTTTTGACTAAACTACGCATCCCCTGTCAAGATAGATTATTTTTATAAAAACAAATATAGAATCGGGTATAGTTTTTTATGGAGATTCCGAAAATGGTATTAATAAAAAAATTTTATGGTCTTTGGCAGGCTTGAGAAAATTTTACCACCATTATTATGTGTATGAAGCTGGCTTGGAAATTTTATTAATATATTATTTTTTTTTAAATATTTTTATTAATACCATTTTCAGAATCTCCTTGAAAAACTATACACGATTCTATATTCATTTTTATAAAAATAATCTATCTTGACCGGGGACGCGTAGTTTAGTCAAAAAATGAAAAAAAAGTGTTTTTTCAAAATTTTACTAAGTTAACACTTCTTTTTTAAATCAAAAAAAACATTTTCTGTATCTATTTAATGAGCTAAACATGAATCTGCTTTTATTTTTAAAAAAAATTGTATCTTGACCGGGGACGCGAAGTTTAGTCAAAAAAATATTTTTTTTAAAAAAAAATTTCTTAATACCATTTTCGGAATCTCCTTGAAAAACTATACACGATTTTATATTTATAAAAATAATCTTGACCGGGGACGCGTAGTTTAGTCAAAAAATGAGTGTTTTTTCAAAATTTTACCAAGTTAACACTTCTTTTTTAAATTAAAAAAAAATATTTTCTGTATCCATTTAATGAGCTAAATATGAATCTGCTTTTATTTTCTAAAAAAAACTGTATCTTGATAGGGGACGCGTTAAAAAAATAAATTTTTAAAAATTTTACTAAGATATCATTTTTTTTAAATCATAAAAAACATTTTTTTACTTATTTTATGAAGCTAAATAAGATTTTTAAGTAATATTATATAGATTAAACCTCTTTGACCGGGGACACGTATTTTAGTCACACCCCATTTTTCTTGAGTAGATTTGAATATTAAAACACATATTACAACAATAACTATCAAGATAATTTTTATAATTTTTTTTCTCACATCTTTGTCTCTTTCTTTGATATTTCTACCTTCTTTTATTCATTAATTCTTTTTTTCATCTCTTTGCTCCTAAAACCCATCTCCCACCTTCACAAGGTGGGGAGCGAACAGCAATGCTGACCAATGGGAGCTCTGTTACTTTTAGTTAATATATTCTTCCTTTGATATATGAAAGAAATTAAGAATATGTTAAGAGGTATGATTAACAAATTTATCTCTTCTTATCCTAAATTTTAATATTTTCATAAAATAGATTAATAAGTTTATATAGTACCATATACACAAACTAACTAATTACCCCTCAGCGCCATCATTCTTGATGGGTTATTAGCTTGTATTATATAATACTTGTTGCATGTTCTCTTAAATTGTTGTAATTCATTGTATACTTCTTATATTATCTTTTTATTCAATGAAATTAAGATGTATATAAATACATCTCAAGGCGATAAAACATATATATATTGATATTATTTTCATTTAGAATACCACTTATTTTCTTTTGTATAAATATATTATTAAATAAAAAGACCACTTATTTTCTTTTGTATAACTATATTATTAAATAAAAAAACCACTTGTTTTCTTTTGTATAACCATATTATCAAATAAAAAGACCACATCTTGTTCAATATTCCTCCTTAATTATGCAATACAATCACACACAATTTATTCTATAGTATTTATTCTTGTTCAATATTCCTCCTTAATTATGCAATACAATCACACATAATATATTCTATAGTATTTATTCTTGTTCAATAATACTGAATAAGTGATTTCTCAGAATTTTATAGAGGTTATTGTTAATAGAAATATTTAAAAAAAAGAATAGTTAATTTTAAAAAATTACTAGCATTCAAAAATTTAACATTTATATATATGGAAAATCTATTTGAATATCATTCAAGTTAATTTGACATTTTAAATATTTTTGGAGTTTTTTTTAATTTCCTGTTCAATAAATTGAAATTCTGCAGATAATTGGGTTAGCTGTTTATAAATAAATATATAATAAAATAAAATTTTAGCTAACCATATTTAATAAAATTTCGTTTTTAATTTTTAAATTCATAGCTTCGACATTTTCATCTTCCTCTTTATTATTCTCTAAATTATCTAATTATTTTAATATAAAATATATTAAATTTTCACTATTTTTTGTTACTAATCTTCCATTTATGATTGCTCAACATGAATTCTTTATTTCCCAATTTAATTTTGAAATCATTTTCTGGGAGAGTTTCTGAATTTAAATACTTGTTATAAATATCTGCATGTTGGGACAATATCTTAGATCTTCTTGGAGGAGGCTTTCTAACAGTGTATTTATTACCAAATAAGAAGGTATTCATCAATATAGTTTTTGAAAAAATCGATTTCAGGTGAAAAAGATAGTTCGGGCCCTAAATATTTTCACAGCTGATTTCGCGACAAAATTAGGAAAAATGAGGAATACAAACTAGACATTTTTAACATATATTTTTTATAAATTAATAAAATATTTATATAATAATTTAGACAATATTTTACTACTAATAGTTAATTATTTAAATTATTTAAATATATTTTTAAATTTGTTAATAGTTTTAATATAATTAAAAACAAATTAAAATGATAATTGATGTAATTTTTAACTACTAATATAGAAATAATATTTAATTATCTATATTATAATTTTCCGATGTCCTTACTACGGCATCGCTGACGCCATGTCATCGCTACGCCATGTCATCGCTACGCCATGTCATCGCTACGCCATGTCATCGCTACGCCATGTCATCGCTACGCCATGTCATCGCTACGCCATGTCATAGCTACGTCATGTCATAGCTACGTCATGTCATCGCTACGTATTTTTTTTTATTTGTTGATTTTATTTATTTATTTTATACAAACAGATGATCCCACAACAGTCTTAATTTATTTTTAAATAGATAATAGTTTTTATTATTTTTAGCCATTATTACTTTTAGCAATTTGGAACGGGAACCATATTTGTTAATAACATTTTGCAAAAATGGATAGATATTTATAAATAATACTGCTTGGACGATGGTTCAACAAGTTAATCATTTTCCTTAAATTCCTGAAATTTAAAAAAATTCTCTAAATAAGGGCACTCTAGGATTTTCATGTGAAACAGGCTAAGGCTATGGATCATATAAGTATATTGTAAATCTTAATATGGGAATATCTTTTAAAATAATGATAAAAATTTAATATACAAATGATTACCCAACAAAAGACCAAAGTTTCCTTTTCACTGATTTCATAAGTTTAAAAGAAGTAAGATTATTAAATTAAGCTAAATTCTTTTTTAAAAAAAGAAAAGATATATACTCTTATAACACTTACACTTTTCACTCCATACTCTTCATTATAATATCATAAAACCTTTCAGGCAACTAATCCTTATAATTGCCTTATTCACTTATATCTGTTTGTTTTCTAAAGTTTAAATATTTAAATAAGAATATTAAATTAAGTTAATTATACTAAATGTTTTACCTACTTTATAAATTTAGAATAAGAATCTTTAATTAGGTTAAAGCATTGTGTAAATTTAATCAAGAAAGTGTTAATTAAAAAATAGAAAATTTGAATGCAGGTTGTTCTTATGTGGTTCAAAAACATTATGACCAATGTAAACTGGGTTACTCTTTAACACTTACTTTCACTAAGTATCACTTAATATCACAAAATTTCATGCAACTACTTCATATAATTTGCCTTATTCAATCACATTTCCCTGTTTTGAAAATTTTAAATATTTAAATAAGTCTATTAAATTGTGTTAAATTAAACTGAATTTCTCATCACATTTTTCTGGTTTGAAAATTTTAAATATTTGAATAAGTTTATTAAATTGTGTTAAATTAGACTGAATGTCTCATCTATCTCATAAATTAGATTATGAATTATTAAAATTAAGCCAAACTGTTGTGTAACTAAAATTAATAAATTGATGAGTAATAATGATACAATTTAGGATGCTGTATGGTTTTAATTAACACAATGGATTCATCTTAATATAACGGCTACATAGACTTTTATACTACTGAGTAATTTAAATAATAAATGTTGCTTTTGCTCAACCTTATCTTCCAATATAATCTCTGGAGGAAATGAATAACGAGTGCCCTCTTATCTTAAAATAGAAAATTCTAAACTTAATAAGGAAATACTTATCTAGGTTTAAATATTATTTCTAAAAACAGATAAATTTAAACGTAACGTAGGAATGTAAATAGTTTTATTCTTCCTTTTCCTCCAATTTAAATTTATTTTTGGGGCCATTTCTATAAATGTTCACAAAATAAATCACCCTTATCTTATTTTGTTTCATTCGCATGACTTTTGCGCACAAATAAATATAATATAATATTTAAGAATATATCTATAAATAAACATAAAATAATTCTGGAAAATGTAAATGAATAGTGAATAATTCAAAAGTATCACTTTTTATCTCCTGATAAGACTTAATAATTTAGGCAATTTTTTAACTTTTTAATTAAATTTATATTATTTTAATCATCCTACCTATTTTTAAGGCTATCCATTTTGTCAGGCTGCACAATATGTTCTTTTATCTCTTATGAATATTTTGTCTAACTAACTGAAAAATATACAAAGTACATTTTTAATATTTAACCAAATTAATATAACAATTTTTAAGGATCCTACATTTTTAAAAGCTTACCATTTTGTCGGATCCACCATTGCTCTATTATCCCTGCTGATTATTTTGTATAACGCACAAAAAAATATACATAGTACATTATTTTTAGTATAAATAATTTGATATATGATTTTATATCTATTCCAAAAAATCGATTATTTTTTTATAATTTAAATAAATTTATATTCTGAAAAATATACAAAGTACATTTTTAATATTTAACTAAATTAATACAATTTTTAAGGATCCTACTTTTTTAAAAGCTTACCATTTTGTCGGATCCACCATTGCTCTATTATCCCTTCTGAATATTTTGTGTAATGCTCAAAAAAATATACATAGTACATTATTTTTATTATAAATAATTTTATATAGGATTTTTTATCTATTCCAAAAAATCAATATATATTACAAAATTTATTTTTATTCAATTAAATTATATATTTATTCTTAAGGATCCTACCTTTTTTAACAATATACTCATTTTTATTCTTTCAATAAAAAATACTAAATAGAGTTTTCTATTTTTAGGATTTTATATTTATTCCAAAACAAATACATATTACGGTATTTATATATTATTTAAATTATTCTATACCTATTCAAAAGGATTCTATTTTTTTAAGTTTGCCAATTGGTCTCTCCGAATGGTATTTTATTTTAATCCTACCTTATAAAATTAACTTGAGAATTTTTTTTTTAGAAAACTATCCCCATCTTATTTCCTCTTTATAATTGTTCAAATATTGATATATCAGCCATTAATAATGAACAAATTCAAAATAAACCTTTAGAATATAATAGGCTTGATAAGTCCCCCAAAAAATATTTTTGATGATAGCCCTCCAACTACTAGAAATATGCATTTAATATTGACCCATCTACTGGTTTACATTATTTTATTCTTTATTTGTCTAGGCTAACCCTAATCCCTCGCTACGAAACATGATGAATCTATTATTAAAGATAGGCAAAGAAAATAATGACGATTAAACAAACGCCTTACCCGTTCTAGAGTTACTGGTAGACAAAATAATAAAGAACTACGCTTGAAATGAACTCACCTTGAGGTTTATTTTGTTTTTTTTATCTTATGTTTCATATATATGTTTATTTTATTTTCACCCAGTTCTCCAAATGATATTTCTATCACCACTACCACAATCTATATGCCACCTCCGCCTATTTTTTAAAAAATATAAGCATTTAATTCGGTACTATCATTCACTTCACTAGGAGTTAATATAAATATTACTTTATTTGATTCTCTGAGAAACTTTCATGAATATTTAGAGCAATGTTCAAACTTGAATGTACAGTACGGCCTATTTCATCAACTTTATTAATGGAAAAATATGCAGTAGTTCTGTCGTGGCCTTTAAAACAATACTTACAACTGTTTTATGGTTGAGTTAACATTGTCATTCATGATTCTATTTTAGAGGGGGATACCAATGCTGACATTGACAGAAATATAGTTTTGCGTTCTTCTTTTACCAGTATACCAAGGCATAGGCATATCATCTTTATCAGGACGTAATGTGTTTTGTGCACTGCTTTGTTAATCCGTCATTACTTTCATCTACAACCCTAAATGATATAAAATTATACATTAATTATTTCCTCTCCAGACGACCGCCCAGATTTATTTTGTCGCTTTTTCCATCAAAAATTAAAATGTTAACAAGGATTTTCTCTTAATTTTATCAAATACATAATTAATCCTCATTATTTTTTAAAAAAATTATCCAAAATTTATATGTCAATAAAAAATATCTTAAAAAATAATAAATAATTTGCATATAAGTTTCATTAGTGTTTAATGGCATTTTTGTAATTTAAATAGATAGCATTTTTTTTTTACATAACATAAAAATATATATTTATCAAATTCTTTAACAAATAATTTCAGAAATGCAAGACATACATTAAATTTATCTGAAAAACAACAATAACCCTAAATAATAAACAACAATTTATTTTTTAGATATAATTTTAATTGATCATATTACAAAAAATTATAAGAGTCGGTTATTTTTATTTTATTTGTCATGATTCTCTAATAAGTGGTTGCCCAGGCCTCCCAGTTTCCCTTAATACGGAATTTACATGTTTTTTTTCCATATTAGACTAATTGGTAAATCAGATATTTCCCGTTCATGTGATGATATTAAAAATTTAACTATCTCTGAGGCGGGAAAAAATTTTCAAAATTATAATGAGTAGGACTGGGCTTGGAACCTCAAAATTATAATGGGTAGGACTGGGCTCGGAACCTCAAAATTAATATTAGCTTGCACCTGATTGGGAATATCTTTTACAAATTATTAAGGGTTGAGCTGGGCTAATAAACTTTTTTAAAATTATAAGATCTTGGATGCTTCTTAATATCATGAGCTTGAACCTGGCATGACATCTATTGTAAAAAATGAATAAAAATCTCATTCCCCGTCATTTTTGACGGGCTTTCTACTAGTATATATATAAAGTAATAATTATAAAATGGATAGAAAAGATGTTCCTCACAAATTTAACAACATACCCCCACAATGTAAATATCAAATCTGCCATATAATTTTACTTTTACTCAAAAATAATAATTTCAACTTTTATAATTTAACATTTTTTACGTTTTTTAATAAAAATATTTGAAGAACAATCGAATTAGAAAAATGGATTCCTTTGTTCAGCTCCATCCTAATGCTCTAACAACATTTCTATCTGTGAAAACTATTATGAATCGGTACATTATATTAAATATGATAATGAATCTTAGGAAAAGCATT